GAAGAGGGGATGGTATGGTATGGGGAAGTACTGGAGAGCAAAATCTATCAAAGTATGCTACAACTGGATATGACTATTCCACAAAGAATCCCAATTTTATATATTCTACTAATTAAAATTATAATAACAGCAATCATAATAATAATAATAGAAGGGAGATTAGTAGAGTAGAGCAAGTGGATCAGTAGAGGAGTGATGGGAAAAAACGGTATCACAGAATGAGAATGACCAAATTATGTTATGTGCATGTTTGAATGTGGAAGAAAGAATCCCGCTATTATGTATAAATATAATGTGACAATAAAATTTTTAAATCAAAAAAGTTAACTAAAAAAGATATTTAAGATATGGTGTGTGCCACTGCACCTGGTAGCCAGGTGCAGTGGCACACACCATAATCCCAGTGGCTCGGAAGGCTGAGGCAGGAGGCTCAAGAGTTCAATCCAGCCTCAACAACAGTGAGGTACTAAGCAACTCAGTGAGATCCTGTCTCTAAATAAAATACAAAATAGGTCTGGGATGTGKCTCAGTGGCTGAGGATCCCTGATTTCAATCCCCAGTGCCCCCMAAAAAATAAAAGATAGGTGCTGCAATATGGACGAACCTTGAAAACATTGTCCTGAGTGAAATAAACTAATCACAAAAGACCAAGTATTGTATTAATCCATTTATATGAAATGTCCAAAAGAGAAAAAATTCATAGAGACAGAGAATAGATTAGTGATTTCGAAAGGCTGAGGTGAGGAGGGAAGAATGGGGAGTGACTGGTAATGAGTAAGGAGTTTGATTTAGGGGTGATGCAAATGTTCTGGAATTATATAGTGCCAGTGATTGTTAATATATGACAAAATTTTGGATTGTACACTGTTGATTGATGATTTTGTGATATGCAGAATTATACTTATTATAAAAATAAACAATACATCTATTTATTTTTAAAAAGCATAAATCAAAAAGACAGTGTAATATATTTGTAGGAACATAGGTGTATAAGATAGACATTGAGCAAGTATGCTAGTGTCATTGAATGGCACAGGAATTGTAGGAGGAAGAAAAACTTGAATAATATATAAAATTGGAATAAATGATACCACATCTCATCTTTCATCTAAGGATATTCACTGAAGATGAAATGGTGCAAAACATGAAAGGAACCCTGGATTAAGGAGAATATGGGGATCTATATACATGGACTTGGATGACATCCATATATAGATAATTCTTCATGTAATGGAAACATGATATTAACTAGGTATGGATGAAATGTAAGAAATGAGTTACCAAGCATAAATCAGGTTAGAAGTTCATTTTAAAAGACCAAATGAGTATTAAAAAACCTAGGACGAAGTAACAGAGATATAGGAATGAAACAATTCAAAAGAAAAAAATATAGACAAAAAAATTCCAAATGATGATATTGCTCTAGTTTTAATAATGAGCACTGAGCTTAGAAACTCATAGATATTCTCAATCTTCATGCCTCAGCCTCATACTATTCATGCAATTGAGCTTATGTGGTAAGTGCACAAATGAGGCTATTAAGTTGTAATTTACCAAGGCAAATAAAAAAGMAATCTATGTGACAACAACCACAATGATACCAAGCAGAAACACAAAAAGGTTTTGATGAAAAATATATTTTAGTATAAGTAAAGCAGGGAAGAGAAAGTCACACTAAGACATTCATTCTTTTGATCATGTGGCAAACATTTCCTAAAGTTACAATACCATTAAATCTAACTGGATGCGTGTTTTACACACAGGTATGGACACAACAGAACACACTTCTGATGAGCCTCTGCTCAGAGGCAAAAGGAGGCAAGATTTTCAAGAGATGCTGAGGCAAGTAGGACTGGATATTGAGTACTGGTTGCCCAAGCTGCAGCAAGATCTGGGCTTGACCTGTCCTCAAGTCATACAACACTTAACAGAAAAAGACCTCCAGAAACTGAAATCCCAGGTACAACATCCATGGGAGAAAAGGGCCCTGGAGAAGCTGGTTGTCCTGTCACACTCAAATAGTCTTCCAGAGTTTCAGGAGTCGCCAGTGGAAATGATAATGAAAAAGCAGAAGCAGGTAGAACAATTGCTGCAGGAGCTGGGAAACTTCTTATTAGAAGGGAGGCAGAGACAGGAAGAAGCAGTGAGGAAAAAAGAAGCAGAGCTGAGGCAAGCCATGGAGATCCCTGAAGAGTACTGGCCAGTGCCTGAAAAGCCCCTAAGAGAAGTCATGGAAATCATGAAGAGACAACTCAGTCCCAAGGAGCAGACACTGTCTCACAGGCAAAACCTCCCAGATAGAGATCTAATAAGATGGGCATCTGGAGGGCTAGCTCTGCAAGGGGTTTACCAAACATGCAACCAAATGGACCTGATACAGAAGAGGGAGGAGCTAATCAGTGTCCCCAGGGATTTCTCCCTCTTTGGCCCCCAGCAAAGCACAAGAATGGAAACAAAACAATTTACATCTTTTCAAGAAGAATCCATGTTCACCCAGACAATAGAAAAGATGGGCTTCAGTGTAAGTGCCTCTGCCTATGGTGGAGGCTGGGGAATTCCAATAGAGATTGGAATGAATAAAAGCAAGCATTCAGAATCCAAGGAAACGCAACAAGCAAGTTCTGAGTGTACATATTTCTGCTCAACCAAGTTCTGCTATGTCCCGCTGGCCTCTTGCTACTTTCACATGAATGAGCTTCAGCTATCCAAGCCTGCCCTTCAGGAATTGAAATACATGGAAGTAGTCTTGGATCAGAAGGCAGACACAGATAACGTCTCCTTACTGAAGCAGAGGACTGAAATTTTCTTCCACAGGTTTGGCTCTCATGTAAACCAAGGTCCTATGCACCTGGGAGGAATCTATGGATGGAAGGCAATTTCAGAGGGATTCCAAAGTGACCAGCTGGCTGATGTGAAGCAGCAGGCAGCAGAGGTCCTGGATATTTACATAAGGGGAAGCTACAGTGGATATCCAATAAAAGTTGCTGGGGATATGAGTGTGTCAGACTCACATTGSAAAACAGTTTCCCAAAGCCAAATTTTACAAAATCTTCAAACCAAAATCCAACTATCTGTAGCCCAGATAGGTGGCCCAACAGAAACAGATAGCCTTGTCCAGTGGAAAGCTGGCCTTAGTTCCAGCAATCAAACCTGGTGTGTCATTGACCGGGGACTTCAGCTGGTGCCCGTTTGGGACATCATCCTCTCTAGTCACAGAAGTGACTTTAAAGATCCCCTTAAGATAGCTAACTGCCTGAAAGACAACTACACTGCTCTGACTGGCCTCAGTGCACAGATCCAGGAGGGAAGT